CATACATCCAATAACTAAAAAATTTCTTCATTTTTCTTGAATCCAATTTATTATGTAATATGTTTAAATGAAAAGAGGAATATCAGATTTAATTTTTAATATTATTATTAAATATTTTAATTAAATTATTTAAGTTTATTTAAAAAAAATAATCATTTTTATTAAAATTGGTATTTAATTTTTTTTTTTTTTTAAATTTTTGCTGAATAACACTTACGTTCAACTGACAAATGTTCAATATTTTCCAGCAAAGCAATAAAATATCAAAAAACAATAAAAAATATGAAAACTGTTAATTTTTGTAGCTAATACAAATTAATTTAGTGCTTTTTTAATAAAAAAAAACATTGAAAATTTTAATTTTTTTAACAAAAAATTCAAAAAGTCAACTCTAGATACTTAAAAATTATTAAAATATTTACTTTTAAACTACGATATCATTTTTTAAAATAATTAATAATTATATTATTCGATGTTTTTTTTTTTAATTATTACAACTTTTAATTATAACTTTTTTAAATTTCCCATAAAAAACTCTTACCCTCAACTATAGAAAATATACGATATGCACATGAATTCCAGCAGTGTTTTCTTCGCATTTTGTAACAATTTCTCTTATTTTCTTTGTACTATATATAGCGATATTTTTTATTGTTATTTTCGTTTTCATTTCATCCACTTGCGCGTGTGTAGTGGGCGCACTGCCACTTAATGCATTCTTAATGATTCGTGCAATGCTCATACGACAGCCACCAGCTAAGTAAGCGTAATGTCTTTTGCTGCCTTCACTGACCTAATAGCATGTTCACACACACATGCATATACATATATTTATGTACACCTGCTTTAAGAATTTTGTTTGTGCACTTCGTCGTGCGCGTGTTTGCGACTGCTGGAAAGTGTGCCAACAGTGCAAGAATTCGTGAGTGGCAAGCGAATTGTTTAATTTTTTTTATATTTTCTTATATATATTTGTTAGGCTTGTGTTTCATTCTCTTTGCTTTCGTTATATCGCAAAAGCTACTGCTTAGATGTGGCATGCAACATTTATATGAAATTCAAAAAAAAAAAAAAAAAAAAAAAAAAAAAAACTTTTTATCCTTTTACGCTGAAATTAATTTCGTGTTGTGGCACGTACTCGTAAGTAAAGGTGACCGAAATCGCGTGCTGAATCGGTTATATGTTCTCAAGTAAACTAATTTTACACTACAAATATGTAATAATGTTAAACAAATGCATTTAATTAATTACAGAAACAGAAAATGGTTAAATGTCACACATTAAAAAAAAAATCAATATAAAAAAATGCAGAGAATATTTCTTTACGGAGTAAAAGTTTTTTAACTTTTCTAATGGAAAAGCAATGGCGCTTGTATGTTTTAAGGAGAGGAAAATGTTTGGTTGTTTGAAATGGATGATTGAGTGTCTGACCGCAAGTGACCGCAGAGTAGGCTTATTGTGCTTGCCTGCAGAACCTAATCATTTTGCTGGTTTTAATAAACTTGCTTAATTTCTTCCACCCCTCTAAGCCTAGGTATGAGGACACCGTAAATGATGTGACGGCTGAAGGCTCCAGCATCGCTCTGCACTCAGTCGATTCCACTTTACCTAGCTTGTAGAGATGATATCTCAGGGGTAAATGCGCCCTTCAATACAACCACCAGAATAGAAAGTTCTCGTTTGCTTAAAGTCAATAATAATTTGGTGGTACTTTCTAAGGTTGTACGACCAACGGTGCAAGGGTTGCAGGGTCTCATGTACATTTCATTTTTCTTTAATTTGCTTTTGTTTAATTTAAAAAATTTCTAAGCTACTTTGTTCGAAAAGTGCTCATAATGGTTATTGAAATGGCAAAATAATACTTTTAAATTAAATGATATTCACAATAGTAAACGATACACTGCAAACTAACCAATATCAGTGCGGAAATTATTAAAAAAATTTTATTTATTTCTGGCAGAATTTTTTTCTTTCATTGGTCTTTAAAGGACTTCATACACGGATTTTGCCTGAGATGCCTGGTTAATAAATTCTCAAAGAATTATTTTTTACAATAGATTAAAAATCTAACTGCTTTTTGCAGAGATTTTCGTTATGCACATTGATATTATCCCAAATTAGAACTAACTGAAATTAAAAAAGTCGTTTCCGATGCTCATTTCTGCAGTGATAACTTAATTCATTGCAATCCCTTTTGGCAGCTGAACTCCCATTGAGTCTCTCCTTTGCAGTGACATCACCCCAACTTTAGCAACAGAAGCGGAGAAATACGAAATAAACTCACGACTTAGAGCGAAATGTTCAAAGGTTCGGTTCCAAGACACAGACAGGGCATTCCCGAGAACTCACAGTAAATGATGGGGATGATATAGACATTCCTTCCATTTCCTGTTAAGATTGACTTTCACCGTGAGCCTAATAGCACATGTTATGTAATCACAGAGTTCTATCTATCGTTCAAAAAAATAAATATAAAATTAATTCTTTTCAATAGGACCTTCATATGCATTACAACAGGCATAAAAACTGAGGTGGAAACCCACAGCAGGAATTCAAGGACCCATACACCAAATTACTCTTTACCTCACTTGTTAGGCCCATTTTGGAATATGGCTGAGTCGTATATAGTCCGTACTATCAATTATATAGTGATAAATTGGAATCTGTACAAAAGCAATTCATATTATTCGCTTTGAGAAATTTCAACTGGAATGCGAACAAGAACCGGCCTTCTTACAAAAGTCGTTTACGGCTCATTACTCTGCCTACGCTCGCTAAGATTATCTAGACACTTTAGACCCCTTTCATTGGGCTCATGCAGAACAAACTTTGAAATGCACGACCCTCTTTGACCTTTTGGTAACGATTTTAATACACATACACACATACCAATATTGATTCCTCTGCCTTGCTTTTCTGTATCTAAATCTACTCACTAAGTGCTTTAAATAATTTAAAAAAAAATCCATCTTCTTTTCCTCATGCAATTTTATAGCAGCTGATGAAAAAAGATCCTTCACTGCTGCAGTGATTCTCCGGCCTTCTCTGTGCATGGGATCTAAAAAAAATTCTCGTTAAACTAGGTAATATTGTCTGTACAATGACCTACGATAAAAAAGAGAAACCAAAAACTGACAGTATAGCGGCGTTTTAAAAACAATAGTCGAATTTTACCCAAAATTTTAATCGTTTTTAGCGTGCCAAAATTCGATTTTTTGATGAGATCAAAAATCGATAAATCATTGTAGGGAAAACTATATATAGAACATGTAAAAAAATCGATAGTGATCGGATCATTTGTTTTTGAGTAATCACTGCAGCAAATTCGGAAAATGCTGTTTCGTTTTCGCTCGTAGCTATTGAGACTCTCTAGCTGCCGAGCAGTTGCTCTTTAAATTGCTATAACTTAAAAACTATTTGAGATATCGATTTGAAATCTTAATACATTATTTTTAAAGGAGTAATCTACCAAAATATGAAAAAAAAGAGTTTTTTGAAATTCATACTAGGTGTGCCCCTTACCAATAAAGTGCTGAAAAATATTCAGCGTGGGCAGTTTTAATGACAATATTAGAAAACTTCATGGTACTAATGTAAGAATTAAAGGAAATCCTTCAACGCCGTTATTTTGCGAAATCAATTCCGACTGAATTTCAAATGTCAGTCAGTAAAATATGATATATATTTTATTATTGTTTTGTATTTATTTCCAAATTTCCAGTTACTTTGACAAGGTAAACAAAATCTATTAAATATTTATTGACTCAAAACATTTCTCATTCAAATACTCCAGTATTGAATGATGCAGAAGAACGGCCGATTTTAAAGTTACAAAACTTTTATCAGCAGAAAATCATATGCATATAAGGTTACTTACGTACACACACATACTTATTGTACATTCAGTTGAGTATAAAAGGTTTTGCCAAAATATCATAACATTAATTTATGAATCTATATCCGTGAGCATTAGTTACATACACGTGCATATCCAAAAAGATGACGTGAAGTCAAGTGAAATAAATCCGAAATAGAAAAGTTGCTCTGTTGCACGATTTACACGCCACGTTTATATGGCAAATTAATCATAAGTAATCGTCTATGAATCTCTTCAAACTTGAGTGTATACAATAACAAAAATGACAAGCAGAAGGAAGACATAGGTTTTTGTATAAAAAAAGGAAAGTAATCAATATTGATACTATAAATATATAAAGTAAAAAGAAATATGTGTATTGTAAAAATTGCAAAAAAAAAATGTATGAAAAGTGAGAACAGAAATAATGAAAAGAAATAGAAAAAATGGGGGAAAAACGCGGAAGCAAACTTGTGGAAGGAAACTTGTGAACAAAAAATAAGTAAGCTAGAAAATTTGAAAATCAGTTGACATAATTTTTAGAAATACCCAGAGGCTTTTAATATTATTGAATAATATAGTTTTATACAAATATACATACATATATATTACCAAAATTTGTGAAGATAGAAAAAACACATAATCGAGTAACACGTATTGGGAAGCGCCCACAAAGCCAAGTGTTGCAGCGAAGAAATCATAAGCTTCAAAAACAACTAAAAATAATAATAAAAAAATATAATAAAATATAAATATATATATATATATATATAAACATACATATTTACCAAAGAGTCCGAAAGTCTAAACCACCATACCGAGCGTGTGCGCACTTGGCAACAGTTGAGTCAGGCAAGCAAGACAAGCAGACAAGCCCGCCGCGAATGACCAAGCTAACGTAGGCCTAATCAAAATGGCATAATCATTTCTATGGCAAGAACTTTTTTCCAATTTGTTGTTTGCTTTGTCATTGAACAAGGAATATTATTGACATAATCATCATTGGCATCGAGGGGCACACACGCGCATCAAGCTGACCAAAGCACATGGAAACATGTCTCATTTGAACAACCGACCACACCGACTGCCGGCGGCAAAAAAAAAAAAAAAAAAAAAAAAAAACAAATATAAAAAAATCGAAAACTACAAATAAACATAAAATCATACATTTATACATCACCGAAAGGAAAATATTAACACAACTGATTTGTGAAAAAAATACGAAAAAAAATACAGCAAACAGTAAACAATAACGACAGGAAGTGTGAAAAGGCAGCTGCGGTTGGTATGTGAAAGGGAGCCCTTCCCCCCAAAAGGCAGCGCAATGTATACCCAATGTTCTAAGTTGAAAATAAACGAAATGAAAGAAAAAACGAAATTTATTGCTTTTGCCAATGGCGAGGACAAAACCTTCATAACAAGTCACATTGCCTTTTGGGCGGGAGTAAATTGGACATTGGACATTTGCTAGCAAATGCTGCGTATGGTTGGGTGTTTGTCTGTTGTCATATATATGAGTGTGTACAAGCGGACGCGTTTTATTTAAGTAAACATGTGTTGCCGCCTGAATTGGCAAAATCAAAACACGATCTCTATAAAGAGGCACAAACAAAATCATTTCACTTTATGTTAACTGAATGTGTTCAGACAAGCGTTGAAGAAGCTGGAGTGTGGCATCAAATTAGAAGGTAGGGTAGTCTTTAAAGAATTTAAAATAGAGAATTTTATTTTGAGCATAATGACCTATGAATATTTGTTTTGAACTTCCCAGCCAAGCAGAAAAACAACATAATTATAATAATATTTTACTTTAAAATATTTGAGGCAGAGAGTAAGATTCTGCTTTTTAATACCAGAGAGCCAAAAATATGTTCAACTGAAACCAAGTCATATATAGACGAGAGTAACAGACAGATAATCGACGGAAATGAATATTTAAAGGGTCTTTTAACTGCTTGAGACATCTCATTATTTTATTAACTTGAAGTACTGCCAAACTTCGTTCAAATGTCCGTTACGCGCATGTTTGCAGCGGACGACTCGTTGAACCCAGTTTTTCATGACTCGACCGAAGATTTCGAACGTTTTCGATACGTCCACTATTTCTTACTCAGTATAGGCTTTGCTCTTCTAACTTCACCAACTTGCTATCATAGACCAATTATGACATATAGACCCATAAAAGAACGTCTAGAAGCGTTAAGTCATACTATCTCGGCAGCCGATCGACGGGTCCGTTTTACGAGATTACACGTTCACTGAACTGAGACTTCAATAATTCGATTGGTACAACTGAGGTGTAGCTTGTGGCACCGTCTTATTAAAACTACAAATCACTAATATCCAATTCGTGGTATCGCTAAAAAACAACTTTTCAAGAATACTCTGTAGCGAATACCATTCTCATCGGTCTTGTAGCAAATGATGCTTTTTTTTGAAAATGAAATGTGTTTCAGCGCTGAAAATGATGGGAATTGGCGTTAACGCTCTTAAAAGTGCCGTCACTGGCTTTTAATTGTGGTAGAAAGTTTTTATTATTTGCAAACGTTGTTGACTTTGCTAAAGATTCTAGCGTAAAAAATTTGACAACCGGATTAAAGCTGTGTTCACAGTGCCAGTTTGAAGTTGCCAAGTCGCAAATGGAAGTTAATAAATCGACTTTGCAAAGGGCTTTTTATTTATTGTTTAAGTTACACTTCCATGAATTTATTTTTTATAGAAGTTTATTAAAAAACAAAGCGTCAAGGAAGCCTTCAAGTGCACCTGCGACGCACAATTGACAAAAGAAGCACTCGCCTGTTAAGTCAGGATCCGTGGGTTCGATCCCTACCGTAAGAAGTCTGATGAGGAGATGTGGTGTTCTCCGAAACAGTTGACACTTCTATTAGTTTTCTTTGTTGTATAACAAAAATATTCGATTCATACAAACAACCAGGCCTTTTAGTTTACTTAATACTTAAATCAAAAATTATTAGATTGCATGGCCGCAAAAAAACAAATTATGAAAAACGAAGTATCACTAAATTTTGATCACAAATATTTAGAGATGGGCTTTATGATTGCTTAGTCTTCAAGGCGAATGCATGTCGAACTGAAAATTCAATTAAGTTAAAATTCGAGAGACGAAAAAGTTGGCATTAACGAAACGCTCGGAATGATAGCTTCCTCACCTCTGAATTTGTCTGTGCCAATCACCTTGTAAGTCCTGTTATTTATTAGTTGCACATCCTCAATTGCTTATCCGCTCTCTCCTTAGCATGCGCTCCAATACAGCTTTGAATAGCCGCAATAAATAACTCTTATTATTGCCGCGCTGTTTCAGGTAGCAACTTGGCATTAAAAAATTGCCATATATCAGTTGAGACCCACACTTAGTCAAAAAAATCCTCAGTCATTCGAATCGGTACAGTCGTTTTTGTGTTATAAGTAAATTAACTAGGTAATTTTTTATAAACATAGATTTAGTTTAGTTATGCCAGACTTTTGGAAAGGTATAAAAAAAGTCTGCTGTAAGATTAGCGCTTTTGGTTATCTCAAAGATTGTGCCAATTTTCACTGACGTGGACATCCTTTTTCGTTGTTCGCTATAAAAATTTTAATTTTGTCTCTGTTTTCTGATGCTTTTGCGGCAATGTTGCCAAGTTTATTTTGTTTCATTTGAAAATTTATATAGAAATCACGTTTAAAAATATTATTTGAAAGCTGTAGAAGCTTGCTGCCATTTTCTTCATATAAAAATTCTTTTGCAACACTTCACTTTTGAAGAAAGCTTTGGAAAAGTGTATATTTCGAGTTTTTAATGCACTGTTGTCAATTTTCATACATTTGAGTTTTATTAAAGAATTTCAAGTATTTAATACCTTGGCAACTTTGTTAGTTTTAAAGTCATCAAACAATACAAATTTCTATCGATAAATAGAATTTTTTTGGATTTCAGCCTTTTTTCTTATAATATTTCCAAAATTTTATAATTTTTTTACAGCTCATGGCTATTTTTCTTACTAATTCTGCAGTAAGTGACTCTTTTCCGGTCTAGTGCGCTTGTTAAATATATTTTTTTTTGATTTTTGATTACCGGATCTCATAAAAATTACTAGCCGTTATGTCTGAAAAAGGTTGCATAAAGATAAAGATAAGGTGTTCGAAATATTTAAATTGATTTAAGGGGCACACCTAGTGTAATGACCTAAAAAAAGGTGATTTTTGGGAATTTTTATTAAAAAAAATTCTTTATTAATTTTAAAGAATATATTTATACATATTTCAAGAAAATACAGTGAAATTTTTGAAGAAAAAAATTTAATATTTTTTAACTTATAGTCGATCTGAAACGGCGCAAAAAAAGGTCCTTCACTGCTGCAGTGATTCCGGCCTTCTCCGTGGATGAAATCTAAAAAAAAAATTCTCTACTAGATAAAATTGTCTGTACAATGTACGATAAAAAAAATTAAAAATTTGACAATATGGCGGCGTTTTAAAAAAAATAGTCGAATTTTACCCAAAATTTTGGTCGTTTTTGGCCTGCTAAAACTCGATTATTTGATCAGATCATAAATCGATAGGACATTGTACGGAGAACTATATACGGAACATGTAAAAAAAATTCGATAGTGATCGGATCATTTGTTTTTGAGTAATCACTGCAGCAAATTCGGAAAATGCTGTTTCGAGAAAAAGACGTTTAAAGATAAAATGATCGTTTTCACTCGTAGCTAATGAGACTCTCTAGCTGCCGAGCGGCTGCTCTTTAAATTGCTATAACTCAAAAACTATTTGAGATATCGATTTGAAATTTTAATATGTTATTTTCAAAAGTGTAATCTACCGAAATATGACAAATAAGAAACTTCCCAAAAACAATCTATAGATAACAAAATTACAATTTAAATCAAAATATGTTAATTCTATATATTTTTTCTTCATGAATTTCTTATTAGGTCTCGTCCTAAGTTCGCTCATAACATCTATATAAATATATTTATAAAATATATACTTATACAAACCCCCAATTTGAAGGCTAATTCAATGTGGTTGTTGCCACTTGCCAAACTCAAGTGTTGTCACCGATGCTAATCTAAGTTGGTCAATGATATACGGGGCGGCACTTGGCAGTAACACCCCCACAGTCAGACATACATACAGAAAAAAAACTTTTGATGAAACCAAAACCAAAGGACGCGCACTTCTTAAATACTGTGAAAGTGAAAATTTTCAAGTCACTTTACCATGTTTGACACATCAAATATTCAATATTGATGAAAATCAGCAAAAGAAGGTAGAACAACTTCCAAGGCCTCAAATTCAACTGAAAGTGTTGCCACAAAGTCTGTGGGTGTTGACTTCCGCCCAAAAACTGCCAAAGAAAATCTAGGGTGTGAACCACGAAATTCTTGCTGTGGCGATGAGCTTTTGTTGGCAGTTGCTCAAGCGTAAGTAGTTGCGATGGGTTGCCACGCACACACAAACCCTCACACAGCTATTTGTGGCACGATAAGCAGCGCTGATGGCCAATATATTTGCATTGAAAATCAGTTTCTCGTAGAAACCATCATATCTCGCACACACTTTATGCCCATTTATAGGGGTATACGAAATTCAATTTGTGAGATTTCGTACGATTTTCTACAACTACTTAATACATATTATCTACTACTTACTTTTCGGAGGGATTTCAGGCACATATGTTTGGGTCAGAATACGAACCAATGCGTAAAATATGATTGCAAATAATATGGCATTTTTTAGTTTTTTTTAACGTTTTGCTCGCCAAATAGTTTCAAGTACTTGTTGTATTTGAATGTAAGTATAATGGAAATATGTAAATTCGTTGTAAACTCACTTAAGTGTTTCATAAATTCAATAGAGTGTTCCAAACTCGGAAATAAATATATTTTTTTTTTGCCTCTCATTTCACTTCAACATTTATTTGTGTGGCACGAGTTTTTTTCTCAAATATTTTTATTTTTAGCACTCTTGCCAATGTAGTTGTAGTCATATTTTTTTTTTGATTGCTGTGATTTGCATTATTGAATTCTTGCTTGACGTTTGAGAATCGTCGCAAAGTTTTGCGGTTTCCTCGATTTCTTTGGCTATTTCGTCATAAATTTATATGCTGCTCGTGTTTTAAATTTGAATTTGATTGGCATTCATATGTTTTGTGTTTTGACATTTAGAACTGTGTTGGTATGCTTTAAGTGGATAAGAGGGAAATATGCAAATTTATTATGGAATAAAAAAATTCTGTTTTGGAATTTTTTCAAATAATTCTTAATACTTTTTCAATGTGATCAATATATTATATGTTTTATAGAATTTGTTTGGTTTTAACTATACTTTTAATTGAGTTAAAAATCTAGTTAAAATATTTTTTTTTTAATATAGTTAGCTAGGACTAAAATTTTATATTTATTTTAGTTCACTTATATGCAATATTTAGGGTTTAATTTTAATTTTATTTTATAAAATATATTTGGTTTAGCTACATTTTTTACTAAACTTTTTTGATATTAAATAATTTTTTTTTATTTTAATAATTTTTATTTTTTTTATTTTTTTACATTTTAGTTATCTATTTATATTCTTTTTTTCATTCTACTGTTTTTTTGTGTGTTGAACAAAGTCTTACTTTACTTTTCTTATTTTTCTTTTTTTCTTTTTATATTTTATTTTACTTTTTAATTTATTTGTT